ACATTCGTGGTTTTTGCCGTGGCTGATTGGATACGATGCGTGTTTGGAGCGCGGTAGCTTTGGGATACATGGAAAAGAATGGTTGGGAATCGGTCCGAACAAAAGTAATAAGTCTCGAAATATCCACAATAATAGTCACAGAACGATTTTTAAACGGTCTCATTGTTGCTGCGCCTCATATTGAACAACGCTGACCAGTGTTGTCTATACTCCTGAAAGATGACGGTAGTCGGACCTAAGACGGTTAGTTCTAAAGATACTCCTATAAAGACGGAGTGCTCGTATCTAAAAGCACGGGGAAGAAGTGAAGCTATTCTGACGATGCGAATCCATGCGCTGGAAACGATTTGATTTGAACTTGTCCCCTTCATTTTTCTATATTTCTTCTTCGAATCTCATTTTAAATGCCTAAAGCGAACCAATAAATGAAGTTGGGATTTTGAATTTTTATGATAAACCTATTTTGGCGTGGTAACAAGCAGAAATCTCACAGGAATCTCAGAATAGGTTGCTGTGAATCCATGCGCGGGAAACGAAACTGGATTTGAATATGTCCTCTTGATTTTTCCACATTTCTTTTTCTAATCTCGTTTTTGGGACTTTGAATTTTTATAATAAACCTATTTTGGCTTGGTAACAAGGAGGAATCTTACAGGAATCTCAGATAAAGTTAGTTTTTCTGCTGCTCTAACCAAAAGAAGAGGTGGCTTCATTTTCTTCTTCTAGCGCTCCATCTTTATGTCTTTGACCTTTATAGACGGTTCGTTCATCGATATTAGAAACTTGGCAACTTGTTATCCAAGGCAGTTTACAATGCGCATGCGTGTAATACATCAGCAGTCAAAGAACCGGGAGATGGCATTGGAAACCAAACCGAGTATTTAGCAGGAATCATTCACATCGTCAACGTCCCAACAAAACATCGTAACTCCATCCCCACCCGAGCGTTATCGAAAGGGATACATATCCATTCGAAGCCTTACCCGTGAATCGACTTAGGCGGTTTAGTCGAAAGCGAGAGGGCGTTTAAGCCGGAACGGACACGTACAAATACGGCGGGGCCGATACCGGCCGCGCGGCGCAGTGGTGCATCATCAACGACACATCAGTCAGTCTCGGCAGATTCATCAACGTCCGGGCAGACTAATTGCCCGATCGCTGAGGGTTGTCGAACCGCAGGAAAGGGATTCTAGCCTCCGACCGAGGGCTTTGGACAGGCCTTTGGTCATCGGGGGTGCCTTATCGAATCACAGTCACGGGAAGGTTGGTCGATGAAAGGTGGTCGGCGAATAAAATTTCGCTTGTGCATCCAAATCTGTCCTATATATTGCAATTGAATCGACGTACACTGAAAAAAAAAAAAAAAAACATTGGATCTAGAATCCAGACGCTTGAAAACATTGACAAGAAGAAGGACTCTTGATTCAAGCAGATTTAAGCTTAAATCAAATGGAAATCTGCTCAAATTAAGAGGCTTGGTTCTTGATTTAAGCTTAAATCTGATTGAATCAAGAGTCCTTTTTCTTGTCGATGTTTTTAAGAGTCTCGACTCTAGATCCAATGTGTTTAAAATCGATCGGAGAAGGAGAAGCCCTCGGCGCGGCGATCGGCATGTATCACATATTAGCGCCTACAAGACTTCACGAATACTTCACACATTGCGTCAAACACAGTGCGGTCATTGCGGTTAGCGTGAAACGTATAGCGCCTACAAGACTGAGTGAATACTTCACGCGTTGCGTCCAACACGCGTTTTCAACATGCGTGCGTTCAGCAGCGGTCGGCGGCGGAACTTAAAATCATTTATCCACATTTATGTTTGTTCTCTCATAATTTTTTCGTTCATTTCTTATGAATGGAAGGCCTTGTCCACACAGAGATAGGTTTACGGAGCTTAATTTCCCCGTAATGTTCCGTGAACTTTTGCTAGTAGTGTTTACAGGGTTTTCCCAAAAAATGTGTCCAAGACGAGTAAATGCGTCTTATGCACCCCTCCCCCGCTGGCACGTTCATTTCGACGGTGAAACTACCAAACCACGTATATCGGTTTGCGACGTCGCAGACTTCCTGTCATACTTTATTTTTTAAATGAAAAACTACTCAACGTCCAGCCTTGAAAATTTCTATGATTTTTTCTCTTCGTGCGGAGAAAATTCTGTGAAAATTTCAAGGAATTATATTGATTTGGTCTACTTCAAAAACATAAAATGCGAGCGTAGATTTTTAAACACCGCAAACGAGATACGTGGTTCGGTAGTTTCACCGTCGATTTGATGGTTTTTATTGATTTTCAAAACGAATGAAAAGGGGGCGGCAAAATACAGGCGGCCCATGAGCGGCAAGTAGGCGAATCCGGCCATGCACTTAGGGGATTATTTATAAAATTGATCTAAATTCCTAACGTCTTAAACTATCGTATGTCGATAAGTTACAACAAAATCGTCCACTCAAATTCTGAAACACTGTCTTGGACATCGGACGTCTTCGCGTACGTCGATTCACTTAGGACTACAATTTCTGGTTCATCTACTCGGGCGTAATTGGACCGAGTTTAACAGAAAGGAACCAAGCCGCATCAGCTATTGCCAAGTTTAACTGGGCAATTACATTTTTTACGAGAGAACGTTTGTTCCGATTTTTCAGCAAATTTCAAGGAATTTGCTTTGTGCCATGGAGAATTTTCACTGGAATTCGTACGGAAATCCGCACAACCGTTTTCATGTAAAAAATTAAATTGCCCAATTAAATTTGGCAATACCTGATGTGGCTTGGTTCCTTTCTGTTTAACGCTGTCCAATTTAAGGACGGCTCCTTATACGTCCTACGCCCTTTGCTATATATTTAGAGCTGCATAATTTTACTATCCTGCATTGCTGGCATGAATTTTTCAGTTCAATTTGTAAACCACAAATTGTAACCCCATTTCAAGCGATGGATCTTTCCATTTTTCTCGTGTCCTCTTTATCCCTCGCTTTGTCTATCTATATGTCAAAAGTAGACCGCCTGAATTCGTTTTTCCTCCTTCGACGATTGAAAGAAAAATGGCAAGGGTCCCGTAATGGTAGACTCCAGGAGACGGTAGTCGCTCGCCGAGGTCCTCACCGCGGGGAGCACTCCCCCCCCCCCCCCCCCCCGCCCCGGTTTTCGAGACACGCTCGCGTTCTTATTACGCCAACATGGGCTGGAGTCGCAGTGCCGCGCAGTGGATCGAGTCAATAGGAGAGGTCGAACATGGCATTTTTGACTAAAACTGCAAATTTTGATGTTTATTTCGTCACATTTTTAATTTCAAGGGAAGTTTTAAGAAGGAAATTTTACGAGGAAACTCATGGAACCACTTTCAGATCCTGAAGATTTAGTATGAACGGAGTTATAAGCTTTTAAAGTTTCCAAATCGTCACCTTCCAGGCAAAGTATCACAAGCGCCATGCGACGTTCAGAAATTTCCGCCGCCATTTTTTTTTTTTTTACAGAGAAATTGTTCAACGAAGCTGTCCGAAAATTTCGCTGAATTTTCTTTGTGCTGCCGATAAAATTTAGTGAAATTTCCAAACAGATTCAACCGACAATTTCTCAGTAAAGAAATGAAATGGCGGCGGAAATTTTTAAACGTCGCATGGCGCTTGTGATACTTTGCCTGGAAGGTGACGAAATTATGTCCGGACTCTCCTCTCGACTCGATCCGTTGTGCGCCGGAGCAGACGCATGGAGCTCTTGTCCTTGTCGAATATTTATTTAAATGGGAAATCTTCATTCGCGAAGTCCGAACAGCGCGAGGACCCGAGCTCACCGGGTACGAGTTCCCCACGGTTCGCAATTTGCCGGGCGCCTAATGATCCCGCCGAAGCCGATCCGGGTCTGATTTAGTAATCGCATTGTTTTTTATTGCGTGCTGATTTCTTTGTCCGTCATTTGCGGGCTCACACTCTCCCGCGCCGAACCCACTGCCGTGCTACTATACTACCATACTGCCGTGCTAAGGAAAAACGGCGTATGAACCTTCAGGCGTTGCCAAGTTTCCTTCGATAAAAACCGAATTTACTAGGAAAATTGTGAAGAGTTTTTTCCAAAAATTTCTGACCATTTTGTACGCAACTTAATCTAACATATCTGAAAATTTCAAAGAAAAATGTACATATATGTCGTCAAAAAGGCATGTTTTATCAAGGGAAATTTGGCAACTCTCGAATGTTCATGCGGCGTTCTTCCTTAGCATGGCAATATACGGAAGAGGGCAGTATGTGCACGGTGGGAGAAATGAATCGCAGAGAGCACTGCGGGCTGATTATTGAAATTGATAGACAAAGTGATGGACTAAGTTATGGACAAAGTAGGCAAGGAGAAAATGGAGCGATTCTATTGGTGGAAGAAGCGGGCGGTTGGAAAGGCGGGGCTTCGAAGAGTAATTAATGGCAATCAACCAGAGACACCATATAGTTATAGCCCATAATTCTCCTCTGTAGACTGTAAGAGCCAATCGTTTTAACCAATAGATGGCTACAATCTTTTGGCGTCTTATTTGCCTAACGCTGAGGTGTTACATTAAGTGACATCTAGAGATGGTCCACGGGGGTTCATTTTTCCCTCATTATGGAAATAGTAATATTGCATTTTATGTTTTTTTTTTAATTTTTTAGAAAAATCGCCAGTGATACGGAAGATCTAAATAGTTTTTTTTACCATTTAAGCTCATATATAAATTTTTTCCACTAATTAATTGGATGCATTCACGATAATATAAACAGTGTGCTAAAAAAGGAGCAAAAAGAACTATGATGCATATTTTTATTTTTTATTTAATCCAGTTTTATACAGTTCCGTTTGGAAAGAATACGTTCAACCCGTGCAGGCAATTTTTTCGGATTCACTGAGCATTTTGCCGTTTTCCCCAGCAATTTTGAGGATTCTTCGAAATTGTAATTCTCTCGACTTTGTCCTCTGTTGCCGAACATTTTTTCTCACCCTTGTTCTAATGTATCATTTATTTTTGTTTTTTACAGATGCACCCAGACTAGAAAAATCTCCACTTTTAGCGAATGGTTACAATCAACCACCAACGCACCTAAACCATATGCAATTCTTACCAATGAACCACCCCGCACACACGGCCATCCTACCCCCTGGGCTGTCGCATCATCCTGGACTCCCCAGACCAGACAGTGCAATCATGAAAGCTCAAGGAATTCCCGGAATGGAAGCTCTCGCCAGGTAGCTCAACTTTTCATCTTTCCTTTTCCTACTCGAAAAATTGTGCTCATTTAATGCATTTACACAAAAAAAATCACTTACTGCAAAATAATCAACTTTGCTTGAAAAATAATTTCATTTGCTTGAAAAAAAGGGAAAAAATGAAAGAGGGTCTTATTGCTTTGAAAGGAAATTCTATGTGTTTATAAGATATTCTGTTTGCAAGGTACATTCAATGGAAGTTTCTTTCGATTAAAATAGAAGTTTTTTCTGTGTGGAAGACGGAACTAGTGTATACCTGAATACTGTAATAAAATAACGAAGGGATTAACCTAAGTAGTTCTTTGACACAGCGTTTGGTTCTGCTTCCCAAATTCTTGTAAGAAAAAAAGACTAACGATAGGAAATAACAAATTTCAAGCTCCGTTTTGTGAAGCTTGCAAATTTTGTATTCCAAGGATTAAAAGCCGACAGAAATCGATGATGATCTGAACTTCAACTGAAAGAGAGAGATTCTAAGTTGTATGGACAGGGCAGGGTTGCACAGGTGAAATGAAAAATATGAAATGTTGAAAATTTCCGTGAAATATATCATGAAATTTCGGGAATGTGTGAAAAATATGAACAATATGAAACCTAATTTCAGTAGCTGGGTGTGCAACACGCACTAAGAAACACCAAAAATCACAACCCAGTCGCCCTTCATTTAATTTTGCATTTAATTTTGAAAAATATGCATCAATATTTTTCTGAAATTTCATGAAATATTTCACATAAGCTATCAAGATTTTCTTTTTCATGAAAAATTGCAACCCTGTCCCGAAGGTCCGTGCATTTTTCGAGCAACTTGGGTCAACACAGCAAGGCATACGGTAGCGAGGGCGCGGAGTAAAATATTTCGAATCGGAAGGAAATTAAAATCAGGAAGGGACATTTTGATAAAGTTTACTTTCTTTAATCAAATACTTTATTAATTCTAACTTACACTTCGCTCCCTCCCTCTCACTCGCCCCCGACCCTCGTCGGTCGAGGGAAAAAAATCTCAATAATTATAATAAACGCAATAAAAAAGCGCAGCAAGAAATATCAAAAAAATGTCTTGTTTTCATTAGAGCTTAATCTGCCATGTTTATTAAGTATCCCGACAAAGATCTCCACGTTCTGATTAAGATTCTGCCGTCGCCTTTGATGTTACCAGATGGTGCTCGAAAATCAGCACTTCCCCCATTCGAACCCGTCTAAAATATCCAAATTTAAACTCCAAATCTGGCAACCTCGATCGCCTCCTCACAGCCGTCTTCCGGATTATTTCTCCCGCCGGCGGCTTGCAACTTTCTGTTTTCATTTTGATTTCTTTCATCCCCTATTGATTCAATTTCGTGCCATCGGTTCCTTGGCTCAGCTTTAATCGAAATTACAGGTATGACGTCACCTTGGGGTCTATTCATTGGGACGGTTTTCAATTTTTTTCAAATTAGCTATAAATTACAGTGCCTCAACCTGCATGCTGCAGATGGTAATGTAAAATGTGCTGAATAAAATCAGGAGATTTCTGATCCGAACCCGATCGCATTTTCTATCGATATATTGAAGACGAATTGGTTGGAATAAGTTAGAAACAATGTAAGTGAAGTGTTAAGTCCTTGCAACTATGAATAAACAGAGTGAACGTAGCCGAATTGCTGCGAGCAACTATTGCTACTCTTGAGTCACTCACATTGCCTATCAAGATATTGAAGGCGAATTGGTCGGAATAAGTTAGAAACAATGTGACTGAAGTGTTAAGTCCTTGCAACTATGAAGAAACCGAGTGAACGTGGCTGAAACGCTGCGAGCAACTATTGCTGCTCCTAAGTCACTGACATTGCCTATCGAGAAATTGAAGGCGAACCGGTCTGAACGAGTGAGAAACAATATTGCCGGTAACATGGTAGTGTACAAAGAATAGATGGCTTTTCGGAAACAATATAGCTGTGAATAAATACTCAACGAATCAGATAGCATTCATTTTCCATTTTCTTATCGAAAAGCCTCTCACCATTTCAAGATAAAAACAAATGATGACCAAACTGAAAAATTTAAAAAGAGGGAAAGCGACTCGTATCTCAGTTTTTATTTTTGAAGTACCCTCAAAAAGTTCACTTCTGCAAAAAAAAAAAAAAATACATAAAAAGAAGGACTAAACTAATAGATATTTTACTTAGTTAATCAAAATAAGGTTTGTTTGAACTTTTTCTCTATCATCCTACTCTGATCGCAAAGGAAGAACGCCATATGAGCCTTCAGACATTGCCAAGTTTCTTTCGATAAAACCCGAATGTACTGGGAAAATAGTGAATAGCTTTCTCCAAAATTGTCAGACAATTTTGTACGCAATTTAATCTGAAATATCTGACGATTTTAAGGCAAAATATGCATGAATGCCGTCAAAAATACATGGAAATTTGGCAAAACCCCAATGTTGATAGGGCGTTCTTCCTTAGCACGGCAGAATAAAGCTCTGCAATCATAACCGAGGAGAATCAAGACTGGTCCCTGAAAGAGTTTCGCGGAGTCATAAGTAAGGACGTATAGTTGTGGTCGGTCGGCGAAACTTTGAAATCACGAGACAAGAGGGTGGGAGGCAAAAAGGGTGGTTGGAGCCATTGTTGAGACAGGGCTCCGACACCGGCAAATATTAATCAGTTGAAGACGGATTAAGGCGTCTTATAAGACTTCCTCAGTTTAAAATCACTCCACCCACTCCCGAACTTTCGGCCGAGCATTAACTGTAGCTTCTCCCTATTGATTTGCAAATAACTCATCCGGGCGCACAATGACGCCAATTCCTCGGAAATTTGGATCCATCGACTCGTGTAGGAGACGTCCAGTGGCCAGAAGCAAGAATACGAGCATATACTGAAAAAAAAAGGTACTTGGCTCAAGCCTGATAATTCTTGAATTTGCCGCCATGAATTCGCTTTATCTTGATTTCAGCTGAATTTTTCTTGATACAAGCAAAATAATGCTTGGGTTAAGCGAAAATGTAGTTTCTATTAAACAGCACAGTTCGTAATCTAAGAAAAAATACTTCTTGGCGGCAAACGTAAGATTCTTTTTTTTTCAGCGTAGGTAAACTTTAACAAAAACGTATCTCGATTGTGGTTTCATTTTTAATACAAAGTTCGCCCCGTGACCGTTTTGCGGAATATTTTTTCCTGAAATTTTTTAAATTGAATTGAGCGCTGGAAAAAAGTCTCTTGGAACCAGAGTCCAGCCTCAAATTTTACAAGAAGAAATACTCTTGATTCAATCGGATTTTTCCTTGAATCGAGAGCCAATCCTCTTAATTTAAGCGGATTTCCCTATGATTTAAGCAAAAATCCGATCGAATCAAGAGTAATTTTTCTTGTAAAATTTTTAAGAGTCTGGACTCGCTGAGCGATCCAAGAGACTTTTTTTCAGTAGTTTATCAAAATGCAACGAAAATTTAAGTATAATAAATTTGCAAGACACGGGAAAAAATGGATTGCTGATTTAGCAAGTAAATTGTGATAAAATATATCCGGCATGGTTCAAATGTACATTTTATAATAGTTGACAGCTAATCGTGGTGAAATTAGCATTTTCTTATTGTAAAATCTACATTGAAACATATCGGACACTTTTTTGAACTACACAATTGTTAAATCAGCAATTTCATTTGTTTCCGTATATTTCGACGAAGTTCGGATCTCACCAGATTGGATTCTTAGCACCGAAAGGTTCATACAGTGTTTTAAGTAGCCAGGCAGTATGTAACCAAGATTATTCATCGTCAATTTATGCTGCGTTTGACACAAAGACATGAAGACGGAGCACTAAAAGCAAAAAATGAAGCTTCTAGAGCTTCTTTTCAATCACCTCTACTATTGGCTAGAGGATTGGCGGCGAAATCGGGACAAGTTTGAATTCAAATGTAGGGCGGGAACTAATAAATAAAATTGCGGAAACAAAGTATTTTAGGTTGATTTTTGCCCAAATTCAGGTACACACTCATATTTTATTAACTTTAGGTTAGTTTCGGTCCGTCGTCGACCGACTGATTTCATTTGGGAGTAACGTAGATCTAGAACTGTAACGGCCTGTTTGAACCTGCAGAACCACCATAAGCAGAAGAAAAACTAACTTTATCTGAGATTACTGCCTGTTACCGAGCAAAAGTAGGTGTAATATATTAGGACGCAGACCGAACTTTCTTAATATAATCGTTTAAAGCATTTAAAACACGTTTCGAAGAAGAAATAAGGAAAAATCAAGAGGACAAGTTCAAATCAAATTTCCGTTTGCCGCCATGGATTCCCGCGCTCATTTACACACTCACACAAACGCGCAGCGCCGAACCTAGCTTCACTTTTTCCCCGTGCTTTTAGATACGAGCGCTCCGTCTTTATGTCTTTGGTTTGACACCACGTCACCGCCGCTGACCAAAAGCACTCCCCTCGGTCGAAGAAGGGGCACTAAGAATAGTCGAGTGGAGGGGGAGGGGGGTTTGCTAAGGTTTCGCGAGACGTTTGACTTCATAATCTAATTACTCAAAGAAGCCACGCTCTAGCCTTTTGTCTCTACAATCCAATAATTGAAACCTAAGCTTTATTTTAACCTTTCAGAATTAATAACCCAGTCATTCACTCGAAAGTGCAAATTACAAGTCGGAGTCCATTTTCTTTCGAGCCCATCGTCATTTGCGTCTTTCGCCTTGCATTAGGCCCCTCGCCTTTGATAAGCCCCTTTAAACTCTTGCTTCTACGAATTCCCTCCCCGGTTCCCTTCGACTTAAAGTCCGGTCGCTACAATACGGAGTCGGGAAACTTTCTGCTCAACACCCAGACGCAACCAAGTTCCTTGCCGAAAAATGATTTACCATCCACTGGGCTCGAACATCGGCGTTTTCTGCGGCTTGAAGCTTTAGAGGAGGTAAAAGTGACACGAAGGAAGTACGCATGTTCTGTAAGTTGCTATTCCACCTGCAATTTTTGAGGTAGGCTAGAAAACATCATTTCGTCACCTTTCGGCCAAAATATCAAAAGTGCCAAATGCGAAGTTTCAAAATTTTCACCGCCATATTATTTTTTTACATAGAGATTGTTGGTGAATTTATTTGAAGATTTCACTGAATGTCCACGGCAGCACACAAAAAATTTAGTGAAATTCTCGGACAGCCTCGTTGAACAATTTCTCTGTAAAAAAATTAAATGGCGGCGGAAATTGTTAAACGTCGCATGGACCTTGTCATACTTTGGCCGGAAGGTGACGATTTATGGATCGATGGTTACCTACTCAAGGAGCTAAAAAACGCAAGGAAACGGGTAACCAAAAACAATAAACACAAAGCAAGGAACGTATCACTAGGGTGGTTTCTACCCCCTCCTCGACTAAGAATCAAGAATATATAAAAAATTATAAAAATAAAAATTGTTTTGTAGGTATACATACTTTTTTCGTGTATTTTTGTTTTTGGTCTAGGAGGGGCTTTAAACCACCCCGAAACGGCCCAAGCTTTACGTCTGTTGTTATTTTTGGCCTTGGTTACCCGTTTTTTGGGGGGTTTTTAGTTGAACTATTCGGGCTATTTTTGTGTATTATTGTCTACTCAAGGATATGGGACCTCTGTTGTTTGCAAAATAACTGTAAATTATGCTAATCTTGACCTAGCCAATCTAATGCTAGCTTCATTTCTCCATTGAAGCTCCTGTAATTGATATTATTATAGAGGTTGTGTTTTTCATGTGGAGCGAAACTTAATATATCATACAAACTTGATTTTAAATCAATGTGTGGTTTCTTTTCTTCTTAGATCTGGCCTATGGGAGAACTGTCGAGTGGCATACGAAGACTTAGTAAAACACTTGGAAAGGTAAGATGGAAAATTTGGCTTTCATTACCTTTCCTCTCTTTTCTCAGGCGCAACTGTAATGTAGAAACTTTCAGCGCATTAGAAAAATTTAAACTAAAAATAATGTTCGTCATCAAGAACAAATTCCAACGATCCATACTGGAGGAAACAGTGGAAACATACGAGACCACATTTCTGGGGGTGGGGGGGGGTGGTTGGTCGAAAAAGCTAATACATTGAGTGGTCTACGAGCATTAAGGGGGTGCCCAGGGGACAAGCGAGGCAAACGAACCAACACCAAACCACCGTCCTCTAATTACCGGATTGTGGTTCGAAACCCCAAAATTCCGCCTCGTCCAATATTGCTCAAGAAAACCGCGGTCCACTTTTTGCGGCCGTATACACTCACACACCCTCTCACACACACGCGCGAGAGGGAAATCTCACCCCCTTGCTGGGATACAGGAGCCAAAAGGACTTAAGGCGGAGGGAGTCAGAGGGCAGTTCATTAAAGGCGGTCCGAGACATAGGCGTAGTGGCTTTGCTTTGCGCACCTCATTATAGTATTAATTTCTGGCCACGTGCATCCCCGCCCTTCCTACCCTCGTATCATTTGTATTCGCGGAAGGGGGTAACGTGAGGCTTGTTATTAAAATTGTTGTCATTAATCATTCGTTTCGGCGTTCCGACGCGACGCCTCCTTGCAATCCCACCAACCAGCGCTTTGCGATAAATCGATTTGGCTGCCATTTAAACCCATGGAAAAATATCGATAACCAGGTCTAGCACCCTAACAATCGATTCTTTACCGTAGCTTTAAATGGGGAATTATCGGTGATCGAACATTCACGCCTCAGTGGCGTGGCGTGAACTGCGATACATCGATTGTTATGCCATTTAAACCTTTGGAAAAGGATCGATAGATAGGGTGTTCGCAGCGAACACCTTAATAATCGATTCTTTATCATAATTTTAAATGGCATAACAATCGATATATCGCAATTCACGCCACGCCACTGTCACGCCTCGCTAACGCCACCAACGCCTTTAGTCTCCGCTTGGTGTCGTGGTGTGTACTAGGGTTGGATTTTGGGCGCTTTCTCATCCCCGCTTTTCTATCTCAATTTGATTCGTTTTTGAATCATTGGTGGATCCAGAAAATTGGCAACATTGTGTTTTTCAGAATTTTTGTTCGTCGTCACCGGCCAAAGTATCACAGACGTCATGTGACGTTTCAAAATTTTCGCTGCCATTTTATTTTTTCTTACAGAAATATTGTTCAACGAAGCTGTCCGAAAATTTCATTGAATTTTCCTCTTGCTGCCGATAAAATTCAGTAAAATTTTCAAACAGATTCAACCAACAATTTCTCTGTAAAAGAATAAAATGGTGGCGGAAATTTTGAAACGTCGCGTGGCGCTTGTGATACTTTGGCCGGAATGTTGAGATTTTTACGCGATTTTATTTTTATCTCAGTCCTTTTCAGATAGACGAATGACATTCGCCGAAAAATTTTCAAATCCCACCGGCAAAATATTCGCCCCCATCAAATTTTTTTCGTTTCTGCACTTTTTTCTTCAGAGTTTGGTTGCCCCAAAACCCAACGATTCAATTCAACCATGCACCACGTCTAGCAGCCCGTCAGTTCAAAACGAACAACCCCCAACGCCCATAAAATTTGTGAAACGTAAGTGCCGTTCACAGCCCGCAAATTTGTCGCCGGTAAATCACGCGGGGTAACGAGGAGTTTATCTACCGCAGCGGGGGTTGCATACCTCCCCGGCGCGAATGAAAAATCTGCCACTCCTCTCCGGCCCGGGTAATAAAACAGCCATGCATACGGAAAGCGATGAAAAGTCATTTTTGGAATACGTTCTCGAAATTTACCGAGAAAAATGGTGCCGCGCGAAAAAGAATAATAAAAAAAACCCCGTCGGATGCGGTGCGATGAAAAATCGTCGGCGACCAGGGGTGACTGCGGAACACGGGAGAAACAGATAAAATAAAATAAAATAAAAAAGTAAAAAAAAGAGCGTCGCACTGCCGATGCCGAGGGTGGGGGTGGAGGGGGTGAGGGGGTAGGGGGTGCTGAAGCCCCGCGCGCGAGATAACAAATTTAAAAATAAGTTCGATTGTCATTTGTCAAAGTACTTAGCTCACTCATGAAGTCACTCCGGCGCGGAGGGGTTGCTCCGGTGGTCGATTTTTTAACGGAGGGTTGATATTTCTTGCTTCATTTCGCCGCCCTCCAAGACGCCCGCGCTGGCTGGCGAGCGATGAGGACATAATAATAATGGAAGACACAGATGTTCCCCGACCGAGAGAACAGCCACCCGAACAATTTTATTCTCCTTTTCTTAATATCTCTTACTTTTTATACTTTTTTCAATTTGAGATAACAGCCCGGTCGCTCCAAGTTTGAGTGTTGCTTTCGTCGCCAGGACGCCCTTGCCAACCCTCCGCTTAGCTCCGCGGGTATTAGGGGTGGTTTTGGGGGGCGTTCGACGATCTGGCTCCGGTGTTTTTAGATTAATGGACGTCTTTTCGCCGAACAACTGGAATCATTTTTCAGCTGGCGCTTCTTACATATGTAAGTGTTATCGAGACTTCGCAAGGAGCGGTCGTGAAGTCGTTCGGAAGACTTCAGCTGGCAATATTTCAGCTCATTTCTCTCGGGGATGAGACGCGCCGCGTGTTTCAGGTTTCAGTTCGCTCCTCGCGCAAGGAAGTGGAAAATGATCGTGACGAGTCAAGTGCGGGGAAAAATCTGCGAAATAATTGTTCCCTGTAAGAAGAGACATTATATTCCAGAGACCAGGGCTGGATTAAGGGGGTGGCCACGTGGGCCGCGGCCCACGGCGGCAAATCTAAGGGCGGCAACAATTTGCAATTTTTTTAAGCGTAGGCATAAAAAAGAAATTGGATTTAGACGAAAAAAATTACAAACGAGAAAAGCTCTCAACAAAATCTCTCATTTACTGAGAGTATAGTAATTTCTAATTGTATCGTCTCTTAGTGATACAAGAGACAGTGCCTTCAATTTGTCGAGTTAAGAGAGAAATCAAACACTCTATTGGGCCTGGAACTTAGAGACTTAGAGAGAAATGATAACGAGGACTTGAGATGAAAAGGAGAAGCCCTCGGCGCGGCGATCGGCATGTAACACATATTAGCGCCTACAAGACTGCACGAATACTTCTCGCATTGCATCAAACTTAGTGCGGTCATTGCGATCAGCGTGAAACGCATAGCGCCTACAAGACTGCGTGAAAACTTCACGCATTGCGTCCAACACAGTGCGTTCAGCAGTGGTCGGCGTGAAACGCATAGCGCCTACAAGACTGTCTGAATACTTCACGCTTTGCGCCAAACATGGAAGGCCTTGTCCACACAGAGATAGGTTTGCGAGACTTAACTTTCGCGCAAAGTTCCGTGAACTTTTGCTGCTTTTGCTGAATTTGGACTGCGCGTAGCAGAAAGGAACCAAGCCACTTCAGCAATTGCCAAAAGTAACTGGGCAATTGATTTTTTGCAAAAGAACGTTTGTGAGGATTCCTTTGACAATTTTAAGGAATTCAGTTCATACTCTGCAGAAAATTCACTGAAATTTGAACACAAATCCGCATAACCATTTTCATGAAAAAAACCTAAGTGTCCACTTATATTTGGCAATAGCTGATGTGGCCTCGCTCCTTTCTGCTTAATGCTGTCTATTTTATTATTCATCGTTTTTCGCTGAAATTTCTATTTTATTTTAAGACTACCTGCGGGTTGATTGTTGGCATTGATAGACAAAGCGATAGACGAAGGAGACATAGGGAGTATGGGGCGCTCCTATTGGTTGAAACGGGTGGTTCTCATAGACTAAGAGGGAAAACGATGGACTAAGTGTAGGAACTCTTGTTGTTTTTCAGTAGCCAGTCTACTGCATACCTCCTTTGCCAATTGCAATTACCCGCTTCGACCAATATGATTACTCCATTTCCTCCTTGCCCTCTTTGTCTATCATGTCTACAATTGTGTTTATCCGTTTCAATAATCAGCTTCCTGTTCCATTTTCATCTCCTCGGTGATTTTCATTCGCTGCATCTAACAGTCCATTACGCACGCAGCGCTCCTGGCGGAAGCAGTGGCAACTTGGCGCGCGCGTTCTTGCAAAACCAATCAGGGGCAACATTGTTTTCTGGCCCCGCGAAAGAGCTGCGACATGATTTACAGTTCAATTATAACAAAAAGACTTGCAATGAACCGATCGATGATTGAGAATACGCCTATTTTAATATCATAAAATCGAAATGGATACCTGAGCAGGCTCAGCGTAGCGCCAGCAAGCTCAGCGATGTTGGTCGTTAACGGGTCAGCTTACTACCGCGCTAAGAAAAAACGTCATATGGTCCTTCAGACGTTGCCAAGTTCCCTACAATACTATTCGAATTATCAGTGAAACTTGTGGATATTTTTTTCTCACTTTTTCAGAGAATTTCATTCGCAATTTAATCTACATAATGTGCAAATTTCAATGAAAAAAATGTATAATTTTCTTGAAAATTGAATGTTTTAAAAGGAGAAATTTTGCAGCATCTAAATGATCATAAGCCGTTTTTCCCTTGCACGGCAGCTTGCCTCATTAGATTTTGAGTTAGAGTCTTTTGCACGATGCAAATTAGTTTCGACTATCTGTGATGTATCTGTGATGAAGTAAAAAATCCTGTTACGTCCTACCGTATAAAATGTGTATGGTAGGAAGTAGCTATTTTATTGTAAGGTCCACAACCGTAATCTTCGGTTACGTAGACCAGAAACTTTGTAACCTAAAAGAACTGTAGATTAGTCAATGAAATCGAAGTGTGTACCTATGCCTGAGGCTTCGAAAAAACATTCTTCTTGAGATGTTATTTTGACTCAAAGCGTCTTTACTTGTCAACCAGTTTTTTTTTTTTTTTTTTTTTTTTTTTTTTTTTTTTTTTTTTTTTTTTTTTTTNTTTTTTTTTTTTTTTTTTTTTTTTTGTTAAATTCATGGA